TCTTTAAATAATGCATTGAGAATCGTGGGTGTCTTGTTTTTCCTTGGCAAATAACCTAGAGAATCGTGGATGCTCCTATATCTCAGGACCATAAAACTTGCCCATGTTTCTTTTCAGTTGGAAATCATCAATGAAAGTCTGGTTTCTGCAATTGTTTGTTTGGAAGTAACTGTCCTCCTTTCTCTGTCTTTTCCTCACGTAGTACCATCTAAGACTTTTCCAATGCAACAGTGTATAGCGTGATGAACACCCCATCAAAAGCAAGGGTCTTATTGTTGGCTGCATCTTTCTGCCAACAAACTGAGAAATCAAACATTGCATTGAAGAGGCCCGAAGGAATTTTTCTAGTCAAAGAAATTTCCCGGTTGAACTGCTCTGACATCTGGGAGTGAGAGAGAATGCTGTTAGTTACTGAAATACAGAAAGCTATAATACATTCGATGAAATCTCTTAATACCAATGGTTATTAAAGTGCCCAGAAAGAAACATCCATCTCCATTTGATCACAATTATACGTGAACATGGCAGGTAAATATTGAATGACAGGTGGATCTCACCGATCCAAGTTTACTACAATTGGCGTGTATTCCTTCATCTCTTCATGATTTTTCCTCTTTTTGGTACGCTTTTAAATAGTGTCAAACATAGATTAGTGGGCAAATATTACTTTTGCCAAGACTTCTCATGCATAAGAATGCATACGAGTGGCAAAGGAGAAAATAAAACGACAAGTAACATATTCCCAACTTCATAGTTCATATGCATGAGAAAGCATGCCAATTTGCAGGAGAAAGTGATCTCTTATGAGTTATGGTGAGAGATTAAGAAATCATCATTAAGAATAAACGACAACAAAACTTGAAGAAGAAATACCTGTTGGAAAGAGAGAACATCGGACCTAAACCGCATTCGCTCGCCTTTATCGCATTTGATGGATTTAGAAACATTCGAGATTGTAATTCCACCGGGCAAAACGATTTCGCGGCCATCGTCTTCATCAATCTCAATCAAATGCGAAGCAGAGGAGTCTCCATCTTTGCAGTCCTTGAGCCGTAGATCCGTTCAGATGTCGTATCCCCTCCCTATCAAAAATTTGCAAAATCACAAATTTTCACTACCCAAAAGAAGAAATCAGATCAAAACAGTGCTTGCAACGACTTCACAAGACAAAACTCAGAAATCTTTTGCACAAATGCCCTTAAAATCACGAACCACAGATGAGGAAATCAAGAAAAATAAGCAAACCTTAGCCCCATAAAAATCAAATCAAAATCCCAAAAAAAAAAAATTCGTGTAAAAAGAATCTTACTTCTTTCTCAACAATAAGAATAAGAATTATTATTATAAATTACAACAAGATACCTACCTGTGGAGGCGGTCGAGGAAGCGGCGGCGGAGAAAGAGGAGGAAGTGGTGGTGTTTGAGGAGAGAGGAAATGTTAGGGTGGAGGAGGAGATAGAAGTGGGTTTGCTTGTGGGAGTTGTCGGGACGCAGCCTCGTACGCCTGTCGGAACTCATCGGCGCCGATGTGGCTGCGGAGGAGGTCAATGGAGCTCGAGGAAAGTCGAGGGAGGTCGAGAGAAAATCCACGGTTTGGGAGTGCTCGGTCGTGGGTTTGAGAAAGGGAGAGGTTTTTGAGAAACAAACTTTCATCTACACCATTAAAATTCAATCCAACGGCCACGATAACTTGAGCGGATCAGTCAGCCATTTTATACCTACCGGACTAAAGACATTTCCTATAAATATATTGTTGCCATATTCTTATAAGTCAATTACGGTCTAATATAATTTTCAATTGTTCTCATTTTATATAAGTGTCTATTTATAATAATCTTAAATGTTTACGATCTACCCTATCAAAATCTACGACTTTTAATTTTATGACGCTAAAAATATTACCAAGTGATCATTTTTTATGCCGGAAGGGTTATTGTTTAACGATTTAGTAAATAATGAATGATCAAGCTACACTTTTTTTTTTTTTTTTAAGATTCAAGAGGGTGAGACTTAAAATGATTAAAAATTAGTCAATTTGGCGTCTCTATAATTTAGGTAATCAAAACAAGTGTTGGTGTAAAAAACCCTCTTGTTAAACGACGAAGCTCTTATCTGAGAAGAAGGAAAGAAGATGGCAAAGAGAGGTTGGTTTTAGGATAAGTGAGAGACTCTAGAAGAATGAAAAGATTTTCAATAACTACATTGAAAACCGACTGCTTCTTTAGAGTTAATTTTGTGAATGGTCGCTAATTTCTCTTATCTTCCTGAAATAGTCCTTAAATTGCATTTTGTATTACTAATAGTCCCTTAAGCTCCTATTTTGTAATTTCATCTGCCTATAAACCTCTAACACTCTTGAAAATAAAGGCAAGTACTTTTAAGAGAGTTTCTCTAGTAGGACCGGAAAAAATGAATAACCGGTAGTCTTTTATTTTTCTACTATTAAATTTGTATCAAAAATTATCTGTTATACATATTTTTTTTAATATAATGTGATTTTAACTAAATTCAATGGTCAAAGGCACTACCAATAAAAAGACCTACCGGAGAAAGTATTAACTTTTAAATTTTTACCACTTAATAATGGAAAATGATCTTGTCATGCCAATTTCTCTGCTAATTATATATGCCCTCCACCCTTTCAATGACATAGCTTCATTAAGGAAATTGACCTGCTTAAATGCAACGTATCAGATTAGAAAAAAAAAATAGAGCAACATACAAAAATCATGAAATATGTCAGTGCAATGCATTCGTTCATTAACAAAAAAAGCTTTATATCATTAATAATTATATAACGTCCTTGAATAATGATAAGTGCCGAATTTCATATCTTTTTCGATCAAGATGTCCATTTTTTTTTTTTTTATTCTTGAGTACTTTTGCGTTTTAATTATGTTTTTGTGAGTCAAAGAATAACTTGGAACCAAAACTCAGCAAGTGAATGAAAAAAATATGTCCATGTTTCTTTATTTGATTCTTGAGTATTTTTATGTTTTAATTATGTTTGTGTTTTATAAGTGTTTTAGAGGTCAAAGATTGACTTGGAACCAAAACACAGCACTCCCTACATATAAAATATTTTATGTCAATACTCGAACAATCTCTATTGTCAATTCAATTGTTGCATTAATTTTATCTCCTGATAACGTCATCTTGGCCTTTAGAGTGGAAGTTATAGTTTTGAGAATGCAAAGGACACACAACCTAATTTGTTCTTTAAATGCACAAGTGATCAATTTTTATGTTGGGAAGGGTATTTTTAGCATTTAGAATTATTTAACAGTCAAATTACTTTTTTTTTTGTTTGTTAGCATTAATAAAGGAGTGGGAGCCTGTGTACAGAGTTTTTGCTTTTATTTTTAGTTAATAGAAGAAGAGAAATAAAAACTGTGAATTTCAGCAAGTGTTTGGAATAAAAGAACTTAATGGGTCAAAACCATTTTTAAATTTTCTAATAAGAAGAGAAATAAAAGTTTTGAAATTAAATTTATAATGCTTTAATGAAATTCTTGTGCAAGTTTTAAAGGCTTTTTCAAAACTGTTTTTTTAGAAGTCTCATTTTGTGATTTTGATTAGAAGCTCTTTTGAGCATTTCTGACAAATTATCCACACTTTCAAAAGCAACTTTTAGAGCTAAGAAGCTAGCTAAAAGTAACTTTTAAAAAACTCTCCTCACTAGGCCCAGGGTGTGTGTAAAAAGCCATCATGTTGAATGATGAGGCTTCATTGTGTTTCAAAAGTGAGAAAGAAGTTAGCAGAGAGATGGCGTTTTATGATAATTCAGAGACTCAAAGATTGAAAGTGTTTTTGATAATGACTAGTTAAGGACCAATTTAGTTAGTATGTTCGAAGAGAAATTTTGGACGAAAATTCAATTTTTTTTTTTTTTGGGAGAGAAGACATTATAACTAAAAGAATTAAATTGTGATTTGAACATATAAAATAAATGGGACCTGATGTATTATCAGTACTGACTATTGTTGACGGTGAAAACTGGTTAACTCGGAATTAAATCTCTCTAGGAATACTCACAGTTGTCTCTCATGAATAAATCAAGGGAAAAAAGTGCATAAAGATTAAGAACGCAAAAATTTGTAGTGGTTCGGCACAAATTCTTTGCCTACGCCCACTTGTGGATGCACTCGTATTATCATAATTACAATCTCTTGGAGTAGTAAAGTTGTGCGTAAAAAACTAAATGAAGAATTCAGCCTTTTATATAGGCCTTCCTCAAATCTGAGATCATTATATATAGTTTCCCGAGGATAATTCCCTTATCCTTAATTCTCAGGATTTGACAATTGTATTTCCATATTTGAATGTGCAAATCAAATGAATTATCTCTACAGGTTAATATCTGATCTTCTTATTTGAATTTGGATATTTAATAAGGCTTATCCGGTCCTGATTTGGCGGGATGTGATCTTAATTTGATCTCTGGTTTAATCTAATTATTGACTCCTCGACGCAGAGGCTTCAAAGGGCTTTTGTGGACTTCTCAACTTCAATGACGCAGAGGCTTTAAAAGGATCTTAAGCACTTCTCGACGTCAACACCTTAGGTCTAAGAGTGCTCCTCAACCTAGAGACATCTCGCCAACTGTTAGTTCTCGACGTCAGGGATTTATCCTGGCTTCCGGAGCTCTTGACGCGTACGACAAAAGTGGGTGGCTTGAATGGTCGACCGTGGTGCAACAATTGACCCCTAGCTTGAAATATTATGTCGTGATGTTTCAAGCTATGGCAAGTCGAGAGATCTGCGAGGCAATATCTTCATTGGTAAGCTTAGCAGTTGCTTTTCCCAAACAGTACCATCATTACTGCTGATTTCTTAGGCTGTGGAGCAGTAATGTCGATCATGTCAACAGATGGCAATCGAGAGTTGAATTTCAACTGTTGGATCAAGTTTCATTTTGGTAAATTCTCCGCTTCATTCCCTCTTTTTGTTTTCCTACATCAACCTCGTAGAGACTGCCTTTCTTTTATGCTTTCGCGCTAGCTCGTGATGATACCTACATGAGAATGGTTAGAAATAAAAGAATACGAACTAAGAAACTTACCTTTGCTATTTGCGTATTGTTCTGAATGCTCGACTCCACCCATTCTTCTATCCTCAATCGCCAACGTAAGAGTCTCTCACCAGATACATCTAAGCCTCGACCTTCTTGGATTTCCTTCTGTAAGCTTCGACCTTCCTTGTTTTCCCTTAGTACTCTCAACTCCAAGTAGTTCCTCCTATTCACTTTTCGTAGAATCTTGTCCTCTCCCTCCTCATCCTCATTGACATAGTCAAGTTCGAGGGTCGGAGCAATGAGATGGACCAAATCGGGACAAACCTGATGGTTGTCTTCGACACGGAAAAACTCGCCTCTAAAACCAACGCAGGGGAGAGGAATAAGGCCTTGCGGGAAGTAGGGGACCTTCTTGAGGAATTAGAGAAGGTCAAAGCGCAAGTGGATGAGGCTAACTGAAGTAGAAGAGACTGAGATCAAGTATCTGGACGAGGGAAGATTGAAGGGGGTGAGGGAGGCACCGAAGCTCTGAGGCGTCGAACATTGGAGAGCGTCCTGATCTGTTAAACAATCAAATGCTTTTTCCTTTTCACATTGGCCTCCTCCCTATTGGTTGTTCTTTAGCCTCTCCTCCTTAAAGGCTCTATCGGCTATTTTTTTTGCCTTTCCTCCTTAGAGGCTCTATTGGTTGTGCTTCCAATAGAGGACTCGGCGTCCTTGGAGGACTCGGCATTGTGAGTTCTTTGAGCTTATTTTTACTGTTGAACGTGGTCCGTAGACCCCTTTTTGTCCCCCGTGCCTAATTAAAACCTTAGTGTTTAGGTAAACATGTTATGTTTGGGGTCGACCTCTTTGAGGATTTGTAGGATAAACATCGAGAAGCCGATGTGGCATGAACAAATTTTTGAATCTTATTAATTCTGAAATAAAAAATGACATTGCAAAATGGAGGGAATAGTTTATTTTGACAATAATGCTTCAATTCTCTCGGCGTTCTATGAATGCCACTTTCATAACTGTAAGGCTATCTTTGGCTTATGAACCATCGAGGCACTGTTGTAAAGGCGTTGAAAAGCCTCGTCAGTATGATAGCCCATTATATAATGGGTATCTAACTGCCTTGTATTTAACCTTTCCACCTCCTAAGGTCATCAGATGATCTCGACGGGCCCACGATCTTCATCTTGTCAGTTATCGTTTCTTTGTCCCTGATCTCTTCTATCAGCTCTGAACTCTTGGAGTCGTCCATCGCAGATGAGTCTCTTAATTTCATCTCTCAAGTCCTTGCAGTCATTGGTATTGTGTCTGATTTCACCATGGAACCGGCAGTATTTATTCTGATCTCTTTTGTTCGGGTCTGACTTCATAGGTCCCGGTCGATGTAGCATGTTTCCTCTGCCAACCTGATTGTAAATCTCTTCCACTCCATTAGTCAACTCATGGTAAGTGTCATATCATTAGAATGGTTGAGGCCTTCCGTGTTTTCTTGCCTCAGCTTCTTTGCTTCCGGCTGATTAAGAGTCGAAGCTTCAGGTTCATCCTCATTACCATTGTCGCGACGCTTTTAGCCTTCTCGCTTCTCAAAGGTAGACCACTTCTCTATTCCATGACTTTTGTTCGATCGGC